CGTCAATTTGTGCGTAAAGGATTCTTACAGGTTAAAATATGTTTGCGAATGGTAAACAGAAGCACTCATGACCCCTGCGCAACGATGACACACACACACACACGCAAATCAAGTTGTGCACCGAAGGCCCGCTTTACAGCATAAAGATCCGCATGGTAGTGGAGCCCGGAGATCCGCACGGTAGCGGAGCCCGGGATCGTCAGGGTCTGACGTGAGGCTCGAGGAACCAAGCTGCCTTGGATCTTGGCTGCCAGACCACGGCCCTTTCGGCGCCATAGCGGCGGGCAATCCCTGCTAGAGGCTTTCTGGAGAAAGAGTTTGGCGATCACTGCCTCAGAGGCTCCCTCTCGGTGAAGTTTGCTTGGAAGAGCACGAGGGCACTTGCTTGCATCCATTTGGACTTCGAGCTGAACCAGGGACTTTGAGAACTTCGAGCCCTACGATGGCTGGACAGGAGGGACCTCCTCAGGCTGCCCTGGACGGGGCAGAGATTGCCCGAGGATGACGCAGGCTGCAGAAGCGGCAAGTGCTGCTGCTCAGATGGCTGCCCAAGCACTTCAACTACAGAAACAAGGGCGAACAGGGAGCGAGCCGGCGTGGTTCAAGATCTTGCCAAAGCCAAATGGCTTCAAGGGAAGAAGAGCTGAGCATGTGGAGGGACTTCAGTTGGGGCCTAGAGCAATATCTGGCTTCCATGGATGGAGAGTTTGTCAGCGACTTCAAGGATCTTCGTGATCGCCCTGACAGGCCAGTCGACCCTTCTCTCTGGGGTGATCGAGAGAAGCAGAGGAGCAACTTTCTCCACTCCGCTTTGGCCTTGATCAAACAGGTCAAACAGGCCAATGGACTGGAGGCGTACAGACTGTTGATCAACAGCCTTGAACCAGCAAGCAAAAACAGGTCCCTCGGCCTCTTGACCATGATCCTGGAGTGGAAATTGGCAAAGAGGGCAACCTCCTCAACCAGTTGCTCAAACTGGAGGAGGCCTTTGGAGAATACGAGCCAACAGGCGTGAAGCTCGATGACACCATCAAGTTCGCAGTGCTGATGAGGTGCGTGACTGGCCAGCTGAAGACTTGGCTGCAGCTCAATGTGGCAGAGACCCAGGACTACAGCAGGTTGCGTGAAGCCATCGTTCAGTATGACAACGCCACATTGAAGTGGAACAATGCCATGATGTTGGGCCAGGAGACGAACAGGGATGGTGCAGTCCCCATGAAAATCGATAGGATCACGGAGAAGGGGAAAGGTGGCAAGAAGGGAAAAGGCAAGGGAGAGCAGAAGGGTGGCAAGCAAGGCGGCAAATGGAAAGGCCAGCAGAAAGGCCAAGATCATGGAGGCGGTGGCAAAGGCCAACAAAAGGGCTCATGGAAGCAAGAGAGCGGCAAGGGCTCTGGGCAAGCCCGCCACCTACCTCGTGATTGGACAGCCAGGGCTCACCAAGTGACGCAGCCACCGCAGTGACGACAAGCTCAAGCCAGGCGACAACCACGAAGCAGCCTGGCATCACGCGCATCGAGTTCGTGGAGGAGGAAGTTTCACAGGTTTCACAGGAATTCAATAATTTGATGATCGACCTGAGGCCGAACACAGGGGCTGGAGATGTCTGATCAAGTTCTACCACCTGGTGGCTGAGCCAGACACACGCGCATGTGCTGTCATGTCAGGGTATGTTCTCCGACCAGCCCATTTTCCGGTTATGCCTCCTTGCAAACGTCCCTGGAATGAACCTGCCGGCCCAGGCCATGACATCCCAGATGATGAACCTGACATCACAGCCCCGCCGGCCAAGAAAGCACGCCTGCCATGGGCCTTGTCCCAGAGTCCTGCAGAGAAGAAGCCCAAGTTACAGAGTGGTTGGAAGCAGGAGGGAGAGATGTGGATTGGGGTGCATCTGGGCAGGAGGTATCAAATTCTTTAATCTATGGGAGCGATCTCTCCAACTACGCCATGGAGAAGGACCACTTTGATGAAGAGTGGGCAGCAACGGCTTCTCATGGAGATGTGTGAGAACTTACACTCTATGAGGGACCAAGGGGAGCCACTCGAAGGAGCTGAGGACAATGTCTTGGTGATGACCACACTCATGAAGGAGGGTATGACTACAGAGCAGATGGGCTTTGAGGTCGACGCGAAGAGCAAGCCACGAGCTGACGCTCTGGAGGTCAGAGAGCATGAGATTCCAATAGATGAGCCCAATCAACCTGAACCACGTGATGAGGGCATGAGAGAAAGGAGAGAAGACGAGGCAGAGCAAGAAGGGCATCTTGTGGTGGGACAGCGACTCCCTGAGACTGGTCAATGAGGTGGAGTTGAGACCAACTTCAAGGCTGCTAAGGGCGGCTTGCAACTTTTTCAGGATCAGCCAATCTGGCAGCAGACTGAAGTGCGTTCAGAGGCTGGTCAGTCGCGCTCGAGAGAGGTCAGAATCTGATTCCAGTACCAGGTCCAGAAGAGCAGGAAAGACACTGCCTGACACACACACACACACCCTATGCGCCTTGGTGTGAGGCCTGCCTGGTTCATCGAGGACGACCAGATCGACATCTCCGCGCTGGAGCTTCTCGTGAGCGGGATTCCCATCATCAGCCTCGACTTCTGTTACACGAAGACTGGAGCAGTGGACAGGGCCCACAACCTTTGGATCGTGGGGAGATGGATTGATCTCTTTGGTGAGGGAGAGCAGGAGAGAGAGAGAGAGAGAGAGAGAGCAACGGCCACTGCGTGAAGTGAAGGCGGCAATGTGGCTCATGCTGGTGTGCTCGCAGACTGGAGCGCTATAGGAGCAGTTCCCTTACGAGGAAAAGATCAGATCCATCTGATGGCAAGGGAGGTGATGACCTTCATCCAAGGTCTGTGACACACCGAGGTTGGTATCTACAGTGACAATGAGCCCGCCTTGAGACCTTTGTTGAGAATCATCCTCAGCAGCAGACATGCCATGGGCTTGAGGACAAGGATCTACACCATAAAGGTGAAGGACCTCCTTGGCAGAAAATGCCATTCAGAGGGTGAGGGGTCTGGCCTGCACCATGATGGAGGACTTGATGAGCCGCACTGGATTGAAGATCAACACGAATCATGGTCTCTGGAGGAGACATGCGTGTTGGACACTCAACAGGTATCAAGCCTCAAGAGGAGTAGTTGGTGCATGGAAAACCCTATGATGGAGTCCTAGTTCCTTTGGATGCCCGGCCTATGCCTACAGCAAGCCCCAGTCTGGCAAGGGAAATCCAAAGTGTTGGCGATGGCGCGCAAGTGATGCTGACTCGCTCAGTGAGGAGGTTGAACAGGCCGTGGAGCAAGTACTTGGCTTACTATTCCAACTTTGTGACACAGAGCAGGGAGTACCAGAAAGAGTTGTTCCTGCCAAGCGAGCAGCAGGACCATTGCCACCACAGGTGCCCATGAAAGCCTTGCCAGATGGAGTGCTCGTCAGGCATCGAGATGAAGAAGCCGAAGCTGCTCAGAACTATGCCAAGCCAAAAGAAGGTGTAGAGGAGCGTCAGCGAGAGCTTGAGGACGCTCGACAGGAAGACCTAGCTGATGTGGATACCCCCATTAGAGGAGGTTGGTGTGCCGGCTCCAAGCGCCGCAGAGACAAGAGCTAAGACAAGGATTGCAGACCGCCATCTCCTGATGTTCAGTCTGGTGACGAGCCCTACACGAGACACTACAGCCACTACCATGGGATGATGAGGAGCCACAAGGACGAGTCCTTAAGAAGACACCGCCACCAAGTACGGCAGTGAGGGTGAAACCGCAACACAAGAAAGCTAGATTGGAGGAGGAGAGTGCAAAGAGACAGAGAAAGTGAAGCTGCGAGACTCTGGAGCCGCCTCTTCTTCGGCGGCAGGGAGAGACACCTACATGGATTTGGTGGAGCGCCGTATTGAGAAGGTCCAGCTGGAAGTAAGAGGAGGAGATGTACCACCAGGATGAGGTCATTGATGTGGAAACCATCGCGGAGGACGTCGACTTCTTCGACGCCGGAGACAAGGAGAATCCCGAAAGCGACCAGGTGGAAGTTATAGAGAACTTCCACGACAACCAACTACAGCGCCAATCATCTGAGCAGATAGCGCCAGTAGAAAGAGTAGACCAACAACCAGGACAAGAAGACGAGACAATGGAAGGATAAAATTTGGAGGCAGATGAAGACAACGATGAGATCCAAGAGGGTGAGATGATGGGCATCGTTCGACTGGACGATGGACGCCGCATTCAAGTGCCAATGAGGTACTTGGAAGCGAGAGAAGGGGATGACTCACCTGGCTATGAGGATGTGGAGATGGACGCAAAGCAAGCCAATGAGAATGGCGGCAATGATGGCAACGCAGGACAAGAAGAAGTACCAGATCAACCGATGAACCTGGTGGAAGGAAGCCAGGACAGAGTTGAGAGGCTCGATAGTGCAGCAAGCTCAGAGAGCGATCCGGAGTTCAGGGTGACTAGAACAGAGCCATGGGGACCGGATCCAGTGCAGCTGACTGCACTTGAGTTTGAATTTTACAATAGGATGTGAACTCGAGCAGCGCTTCGAGCACGAGAGGATTTGGTTTCAGTGGAGGCCAATTGGCACCACTATGTGAGGAGTTGGAATAGCAACTATGAGATCATGAAAGAACTTTTCCCATTCCTAGACTACTAGTTGGGTTGGCAGCTGAAGGCGCAACAACCCAAAGGGGGAGTGCGAATGGTAAACAGAAGCACTCATGACCCCTGCACACACACAAATCAAGTTGTGTACCGAAGGCCCGCTTTACAGCATCAAAAGATCCTATTTAATATACATTATACAGTCATATTTTTCCTTGGTGCATTAGAATCATCATTTTCGAATCCTCCCGGTGCGGTTTGTTGTTTGGGAGAGGGTAAGTGTCATCAAGTGTTTGTCGGCAGGCCCGGCAAGTGTTTGGAGGGAAGCAGTTGATACTTGACAGTTTTGATGATGTTGTTGCGTCCAATGCTGCCCTTCCTTCAGATTGAATTCTTTGCAGGTATGCGATTGACGCGGTGTCCTGCGACTTTGACGCAACTACCTGCGGGTGGCACTTTAGCGTGTTGTCCCCGTGGCGGCACGAAGAAAGCGAGAGTCCTAGCAACAGTTCTAGTAGGAATGGTTTCTTAGTGGTTGACCAGCCACAGCAATCAGGAATTTTCACGAATTTGTTTGAATCAAATCAGCACTTTGAGCAGCTAGCGTTCCACTACCGTTCAAAACAGATTTCGGCCAATCCCAAACTGGAACTTCGTTGTTTGGCTGCGACGTCGGCCTTGGATTCCTTCACTGTCTCTACGATTTGGTCTCTTGAGTTCATTGAAGGCAGCAGCAATGATGATTGGCATGAGACCAAAGTGGTTGTGCCAGCATATGCACGTGGCTTCATGTTTGTGTCTGCGGGAGTAGAAGCATCTATCGACAACATCTATGGGAGCAGCAATATGGAAATTCCTTCCGCCTATCTTTCGGTGGGTACCTTTGTATCATGCATGCTTTTCGTTGGTACTGAGACTGTTCGTTGCTGGGGCGCCGGCTCGTTCGGAATACTTGGGCAAGGCAGCACCAAAGACATTGGTGATGATCCCGATGAAATGGGAGACAACCTAGAGCCTATCGATTTGGGTACAGGTCGAACTGTGAAACAAGTGTCTCTTGGGAGAGATTTTACGTGCGCGTTGCTTGACGATGATTCGCTGAAGTGTTGGGGATATGGAGGAAATGGAAACCTTGGCCAAGGTAGCACAGAGCATATTGGCGATGAGCCCAATGAGATGGGAGACAATCTGGCACCAATTGATTTGGGCCCCAATCGAAAGGTGAAGCATGTCGTCGCTGGAGGTTTGCACACATGTGTGTTGCTGCATGATGAAACGGTTCTTTGCTGGGGTTTTGCAAGGCACGGCCAGCTAGGGCGTTGTTGCGCAGAAAACATTGGTGATAGCGAACATGAGATGGGCTACAGTTTAACTGCAGTTGATCTGGGCTCAATGCGAACAGCAAAACAAATTACCGCCGGATATATGCACACTTGTGCTTTGCTCGACGATCACTCAGTCAAGTGCTGGGGGCATGGTGTCTATGGTCAGCTTGGCCAAGGAGACAATTCTCATCTTGGTGACGACGCTGATGAAATGGGAGATCTCTTGGAACCGATCGATTTCGGCGAAGATCGCAAAGCAAGGCAGTTGGCCTCCGCCAGCGGCTACGATTTTCACTCATGTGTTTTGCTTGATGACGACTCGGTCAAATGCTGGGGATGGGGAAATGCTGGAGTTCTTGGTCAAGGAAGCACTGATAGCATTGGTGATGCTATGGCTGAGATGGGTGACTTTTTGCATCCCATCAATTTTGGCGCCCTGTCAACTGTCGCGCAGATTGACATTCGCCTGTTTGGCGGTAGTAGCATGCGAGGCCGGCTTCAGGTTCTGCACCGAGATTCATGGCGTGATGTGTGTGACGACAACTGGCACGGCGCCGACGCGCAGGTTGTGTGCCAACAACTTGGGCTAGCAGGTGGCGTCGCAACATGGCGTTTGGTCGGCAGTGGGCAGTTCTGGATGGATGACGTGACGTGTGTCGGTACGGAAGCCAATCTAGGCGCTTGCTCCTTCAGAGGGTGGGGAGTTCACAATTGTTTTTCCAATGAAGCTGCTGGTGTTGAATGCCATGTTGACGCCTGGAGTCATTTGGCTGACCCCGACATTGAATCATCAGCCGGTCGAACAGAGCATTCGGCAGTTTGGGATGAACGCCGCGGGTCTATGTTGGTGCTGGGAGGGCATGCAAGCTCTCACTTCATATATTATGATGACTTGTGGATCTACGAAGCTTCAGAAGCCCAAAGAGGCCCACTTTGGAACCAACTCCACGTGGCACCTGCACACCGGCATGGCCATACAGCAGTCTTTGATTCGGACTCAAGCACTATGTTGATATTTGGTGGGAGTTACACCACCAAGACTTATGATGAGCTTTGGCTATACAGTTTGTTGAACTTCACATGGACTCTTGTATCAAGCGCCATCAAACCAGAAGCGCGAGTATATCACTCAGCAGTTTGGGATGGTGATCATCAGCTCATGTTGGTTCATGCCGGGGAGAATGGCTTTCGTCTAGAAGACCTTTGGGAGTTTCGGCTACAATTTCAATCATGGAGACAGGTTGAAAGCACAGATAGCCCAAAGCCATCTCCGCGCAGTAGGCACTCAGCCATTTGGGCCCATGTTGCCGAAGCGATGCTGGTTTTTGGTGGTCTGGGAGCCTCGGCTCTCAGTGATCTTTGGCATTTTTCATTGTCCACCAACTTCTGGACACTGCTATCGCCAGCACTTGCTCCCGGTAGCCATTATGGCCACACTGCCATTTGGGATCCGACTGCTTTGTCGATGTTGACATTTGGTGGTGTGAAAACTCAGAACAGCTTTCAGAGTTATTCTGCAGATTTGTGGCGCTATAGTCTACTAGACAATTCTTGGACTCAGATGGCCCCGCCAGGACCTTATCCCAGCCCTTCAGCCCGAGAGGGACACACAGCTGTTTTCGACTCGTTGAAGCGGCATATGTATGTACTGGGAGGCTTCAATGCTTCGTACAAAAAACGACATGTGGCGCTACAAAGCACCAGACTTCCAAGAAGTGCCCATGAGGGAATGCTCCTTGGGCCAGGAGTGTTCCATGGAGTTCGCAGACGTTCAAGGGACTCAATCGCAACTTGTGATTGTAGAGTCCGTTGGTTTGCTTTCTGGTCTGAATGACACTTCTTTCGCATACTTGGCGTGGGAGGGAAGAGAATTCTTTTTGGAAGGTTCCAATGCCAGCAAAAGCCTTGATTGGTTTGCAGAACCTGGGATATATCATATTCGACGGTGTCCTGTTGGCATGAATGCAAGCTGTGATCCATTGCAAGAGGTGGGAGTCAACTTTGGTATCTTCATTATAGCCGGTCCTTTCTCAAATCAATCTTTCAGGTGTGACCTCGGATCCCATTGCCTTGTCTATGGCTTGCAGGGCACAAGGCTTACAAAGGATGACAAGCTGCTCGCCATGAAAGAGTGTGGCACCTCACCGGCAACCTCCGCATTTGTAGACCCACAACCAGTCCATGGATCATACAGTGGCTTGGGCAACGTTACCTTTGACTTTGGGCTTTTGCCATTGGAAGGTTTTGCATCAGAGACTGTTCAGCTGTGTTGGTGCTCAGCTGGATCGACGTGCAGCGACCCGGAGGACTTCCGCACACCTGCCATGCAGCTGGATGTGACTTGTCCTCCAGGCACCTATGAACTTGTTGGAAGGACGAGGCGCTGCCATGTGTGTCCTCCGGGCTATTTTTGCCCCGGTGGGGTCTCTTTCATGGCACAGCTCAAGCAGTGCCCTTATGGCAGCACTTCAAGCAGGAGCTCGAGCTCTCTGCAAGCCTGCGAGTGTCGCCGTGGTCATTTCTTGGATGTGGAGACCGGTTCGTGTCTCCCTTGCTTGATTGGAAGCTACAAGGATGCTGTCGGTCCTTTCATGTGTCAAGCCTGTCCACTACACACAACAACCGTTAGTGCAGGTGCCATTGCAATCAGTGAGTGCATGTGTGCCAGTGATTGGTTTGATGTTCAACCTGCCCCGGATGTGTTTGATTGCACAATGCAGTCAAGACTTCCACAGCGCTACGTGTCAAACGATACGTTTGTAGGATTTGCTTCCACGCAGCGACAGGTCTACTCCTTCAACGGATCGATCAGTGTCGAAGGTTTGTCTTTGGAGGACTTGAGAGGAGCTCTGGAGGCTTATTTGGGTGAGCATGGTTTGCTCACCAAGCGAGCATCTTTTGAGTTGCACACCGCTGCTGAGGAGGCAACCGATTCTTGGGTCAACTATGAGGTTATGAGCTCGGAGGAGGAGAGTGCGGCTGAGCTTAGTGCAATGTTTGAGCCCTGGCCTTTCGCTGCTTGGGCCTTTCAAAGCTCTAGTTCCTTAGCAACAGCTGTGATGCTGAATCCAAGTTCAGTGAGGGAGCAGCTTTTGGAGTGCCCAGAGGGTATGGCTTTTGCGCCAGGAAGTTTAGCCTCAGGGCTTGCAGATTGCCAGTGTCCTCATGGCATGATGCCTTCTGGCTCTGGCTCCAGCTTGAGCACTGGCTGTGTGAAATGCCCACTCAGTTTTTACAAGGCTTCTGTGGGAGACTCACCCTGCACCAGCTGCAGCATTGGCATGGAGACACTCCAGGAGGGGGGCTGTGTCATCATCCGCCTGTTCCTGCTCAGCAGGCTTTGTTGCCCAGGCAGGGGATTCATCCACCTGCGAAACATGCGGGAAGGGCAATTTCTGCCCTGAAGGAGCTTATAGAGAAGCCTGTCCAGAACATCAAACAACGCTTGTGGATGACGCAAAGACCAAGTCGGATTGCGTTTGCAATCCTGGTTTGGTACCTTCAGAGTTCGGCAATTGCGCTGGACCTTCAAGTGACCATGATTTTACTTGTGTTCGCGGCCATCTTTGCACATTTGAACAGCTTGTTCCTTTTGATGGCATAGGTTTGTCCGTGAACGGTCTGGTGTCTCTCAGGCATGGGTGTGGTTCTTTGCAATTTGAGCAGGTGTCGCCAGCAAATGCTCATGGCATTGCTACTATGATCGAGTGGCCAGATGAGGAGGCACCGAATTCCACTCGCTTTGCTCTGAGTTTCGGGGCTTGGCCGCCCGCAACCGACAGCGTTGGCGGCGCTGACCGTAGTTTGCATTTGGACGCAGGAGTGTACGATCTTTGTTGGTGTGGTGGTCCACCTCCTTGTGGAGTAGGGGATTTTGTTCTTTCTGCCGGCAAGTTGAGGGTGCAAGGCCCTCGTATGAACCAGGAAGTCAGTTGCTCTGTAGGGCAAACATGCGCACTTGAGAATGTGGAATTCGAGGGGGACAGCGAAGGAGCTGTGATCATGGTGTTGACCGATTGCGGCATGGGTGATGCTATTCCAGGCTTTCCTGGCCAGGGCATTGCAAAGAGTGTTGACACTAGGCTTATGTTCATTGCTTTTGTGGATTCACAGAGTTGGTTTCGTTCACTCCTTTTTAAGAGCTGTCACTGCTCCATCTCGCCCCAATTGTTACTGTTTTCCTCCTGCAACCAGTGTACTTGTAGTGGAGGTAGTAGCAGTAGTAGTAACAGCAGCGGTAGAAGTAGCAAGAGCACAGCCGATGCCAGACATCACAGCACTACATCACATGTCATCACGCCAAAATTCAATTCACCTGCTCCACCGGATATATATACTGTAGTGCGTGCTAAGCTGGTAAGCTAGCGCTGGTAGTGAGCCTTTCTTGGGAAAGAAACGGAGGTTGAAGTGGAACACTTGAATCAGGTGAAAGGCCGTTCACCCTGTCACAGCCTTCAAATGACCAGGCTCAGTTCCACACTTGAGGTGGAAAAGTACTGTATTTGAATTGGTTGTAGCGGCCGCATATGTTCATTGAACATAGAGTTCAATGTGACATGGCTGGAATTGTCGGAGATTTATACAGGAAAAAGCCAAAAGAGTGGAGCTGTGGAACGCAAAGCGTTCGTGAAAGCACACGTGCCACGAGCACGAAACGTATGACTCTCACTTGAAGACTCGGACGCACGGCGCGTCCGGTCCAAGGCGTTCCGAGCACTTCCCTTGCGAAAGGAGAAGGAGCGCTCTTCCATGGTAGCTCCAAAGGGATGGCTTGCTCCACACGCTGTTTGACTTCATAAAAGCTGCATTGTGTCATCCTGTTGGATCAGTTGGGTGGTTGGGGTTGTTCTGGATTGTGTCATCCTGTTGAAACGGTATTCTCCAAATAGGAGAAGGAGTGCTGGGCCGCGATGCAACATATATCAAAGGACGTGCTGGGTGGCTCACCTGTTCTTGGGGGTCCCTCGCAAAGGACCCAGATTTGGGAAGCCGATCTTTTAAAAGATCCACCAACAATCCGAAACAAACAGATATGAAGCCGGACATGAAATCACAAACACCAGCAAACAAGTATGAGGTAGACCAAGGATGAAAGCTGAAATAAAAACAATCAAGGAAAGAACTTGCACTCCACGAAAAATTCGCTGTCCGGATCCACCTCCTATAGGCTAGTGGAAGAGCGCAGGTCCGGGTGCAGGGCATGTTGTGGCCCTTGTGGCTGGCCCTTCTTTTTTGACTGAGCTGTAGACTATAGACGACCATTCCATCATCAACCTGCGACCCAACCACACTTTTCACAGAGCTGTCAAAATCAGGACTTCTTACACCCCCACGACTCACAACAGAGGGCAGCGTAGCGGCGCTTCAAGCACCCTTCAGGCCTTAGGGCATGCCTTGATTTGCTACTAGGGATGCACCCCCTACTATAACCTGCGGATCTCTTCAAGACTTTGGTGGCAGACTCATGCCCAAACTTTTCGGCGTTCGCTCGGTCAGGTGAAAGGTCGTTCGCCTGACCCTTGTCGCACGAATGATCAGGCCCAGCCTTGAGTTGAAGTTGGAGAATATGGCACCGTAGCGGTCGCGCACCCTCAAAATGGATTGCTTCTCTGCGACATGACTAGAGACATTGGAAGCAATTGCCGCGCAAAGTGTAATCATAATACCGCCGCATATAGAAACAGCTAGCATCAACTAGCTGAAGACATCTAAAAACTAAGTTTGCCGAGCGCTTGATTTTGCGACCCATTGCTTGAAGTTGCCTCTCATAGTGCCAATCCAGTGAACTGCGTGAACCCAACTTGTACGGATGCTCCTGCTGCCGGGGGCAGGTTCTCATATATATCACGAAAGCCAGCCGATAGGCTAGGCTGAAGTTGGTTTGGGCGAACGAAGTGATTAAAGGGGGTGTGGGGGGGGTGGTCGCACACAGGCCAATTTCGGAGGGCTAGCCCAGAGCCTGGTGGGGGAGAGCGAAAAAATGCAGGCCCGCTTGGATTGAAAATGGATGGTTTTTGGGATGGTGTGATGCAAGTGATGTAATTGACGGCGAACAGTGCATCATTAGCAGCATGAGGGGCTCAGGAGGCAATGTAAACCGTCTTCTACCAGGGGTGGGAGTTCATGTCGATGATAGGAAAGAGGGGACAACGCGCGAAAAGTGGTTGGAACTCTGCAGGAAAGGGAGATGTGCGTCTTTGGTGGTCTTGAAATAGTGTTCGGCCAGGGGTGAAAGAGAGGTGTGTGTCAAGACACTGTGTGATCTGTGAGGGCAGGAGAGGGAACAGAATGCTGTGTGGCAGGTGGAAGACAGGCATAGCGGAAGAGGACGTGGTAGGAAAAGATTGCTTGCAATAAACCTTGGAGTTGCTTGGGGGTGTCCTTTTTTCATGGTGAGCACGCCTGTCAACCATACGCAATAGGGCACCTCATCTAGGGTGCGAGTTCATGTAATGACGCGGTCCGTTCAAGGCAGGAGAGAGAACAGATTGCAGCGGGCAAGATTTGAATTGCTTGGGGGTGCCCTTTTTTTAACGGTGAAGAGGCCTAGTTGCCAGCTTCTTGTCTGCTGCTGAACAAGCTACTTGTGGGGCTTTGTTCTTTTGCGTGCTAGCTCCATGAACAGCCCCGGTGTCTCAAACCCTTGATGATGGGGCTGACAGTTCTTGCGACACTTTCAGCGTCTTTGCAGTGTGCAGGCTGTGTAGAGGGGCCGCGGAAGAGAGTGTGTGAGTGAACGCGTGGCCTCAGTGCTGCACCGGGTGGAACCGGCCAAAGTCTTCTCACAAACAATGTGACCGGCTCTTGCGGTATGCAAAAGAAATCCAGCAGGCTCCGCTCACCTCCTCTATAGAAATTTCTGTGTTCACTCAGGATATTTATTTATGTATATATATATATATATATTTAAAGGCTTACGCCTAACAGCCGGGCGCCGGCCCACTTGGGTCTGTGTAGGGCTGGGTCGGGTGCACGTTAAGCTATCGGGGGCGTACTGGGCCCTGGGTGGTGCCAAGGTGGGAAACTGGTCCGCGTCGGAGATGGGGGCCCTATATTGAGCAAAGTTAAGCTATCTGGTGCGCATCTTGGCCCTAGGTTGGGCCAAGTTGGGCCCATGTGATCTATGTTGGGCACATCTTGGGCCCATGTTGAGCCTATGTTGAGCCTATGTCGGCCTATGTTAGGCCTATGTTGGCCTATGTTTGCCCAGGTTGGGCCTATGTTGGGCCTATGTTGGCCCCATGTTGGCCCTATGTTGAGCCATCTTGGAGGCTATGTTGGGCATATGTTGGGGATATGTTGGCTATCTTGGGCCTATGTTGAGGATATGTTAGGAACTGTAAGTCGTCTGGAGGGCCTCTACCCACAAAATGTCGATTAAGCCTGTCCGCCCGGCGCGCATTACCGACACCACCCTTGAAAAACACAGCATTTTTGCATTTTTCCCTTTTCCCCCCGTCGTACTTCGATATGCGCAATAAACCCTGTAAAACACAGTGTTTTTTATACCTCACACACACGATACACTGTAAATTACAGTGGCTTCAGTGACCCGGTAGTGACGACGGGGTCCCCCCGTTTTGGGACCGAGGGTCGGCGGCAGCCAGGGCCAGCGTCTATAACCTTCGGTTACCAACCGAAGGCCTCCGGCGAGGACACGGGCTTCGTGGCCGGCGCCCGGATTTATGAGGCTTACGCCTGACAGCCGGGCGCCGGCCCATTTGGGTTTGGGTATGTTACACATACGTAACCTCACGGAAGCCTGCCGATTGCCTTGCCCATGGGCCCCCCCCACAGCCATCTTTGCTCACTGTTTGGCTACATGCAGCAGGCAAGCGTGTGTAGGGGTGCCTTTTTCACCTCCAAAACGCCCGACAAATGGCGAACCTACGTATTCTAATTTCTATCCCTACCCCCCATCGGGGTGGCTGCGATGTCAACTTCACCCCATAAAGGTACTCTTTGCCCGATGTTAGCCAATCACTTCATCTTGCACGCCAAGTTTTTGATTCCATCTGCAGGACATGGATAACAAACAGCTGGCAAGCGCCCCTGAGTTCCTTAGGGGTGCCCTTTTTTCAGCTTCAAAACGCCCTTGAACCGAGCGAAAAAGGGCCGTGCATTCTGCTTTCTATTTCCAACAGCAATAGCGTCACTGCTGTGTCGACGTCCCCCAATAACAGCGACAATCTCTCCCCCGCTCCTCGCGTGGTAACCTTTCCTCGGTATCAGTCTATCTGCAACACAAAACAAAGCAACAGCGCGCCAACCCCCTCCGTTACTTGGGGGCGCCCTGTCTTATCTTCACAACGCCCTTTGAGCAACAACAGCAGGGGCACCCCACTCCCCCACCTTTACTGCGACTCTCCACCTCTGCCTTTTCTTTCTCCATTCTTGGCACTGTGCCAGTGCGCTGCCGACTTCACCCCCCCATTGCCATGTTGATGTCTTCTTACAAAGGCTGGCTTTCGTCCCCTCCCTTCTCAGGTATATATAATATAGATATATACACATAATACATATATATATATATACAGTATGCATAACAAACCCATCTTTTCACGCCCGCAAATCAGTCTGCAGGCCCCGCCTAGCATGAGCCCTCCCTATTCGTAAGTCGCTGTGCGTGCACTTCGATGAAGTTCCGCTGCCTGTCCAAAGAGAATGCAACATGAGTGCCCTGACTGATGCCCCAAGTGAGCAACGTGAAGAGACTGGTATGAATAGTTCTGGTATGACTCGTTTTGGGTCATGGTTATGAATCAATGAACCAAACCAACACCAATCTCCGCGTCCCCCGCCCCTGCCTCTAGTTTCACTCAATGGTCGGCGGATCTGCGCATGAATCTTATAAATCCAGTATAGGGGTCAGAAGCAGCAGCAGTTGCAATGTGCAAAGTTGAGGACAGCTCAACGTTTCTCTTCTCAGATGACTCGGCCCCTTTGAGTTCGCCCCCCAGGAATTTATCGGCTTTGCTTTTGCATGCCAAACCCTCATGAAGATTGTGCGGGGGCGGGTTCCTTCAAAGCACCAGTTGGCTTACTAACCGCGCGCGGGCCTTTTGACCAGCTGAGCGAATGTGAAGTGGACAGCAACTGCAGTGTGAAGCTAACGGGCATCGGTTTGGAGATGAATGACCTGCTGGTCGTGACGAGTAGCTGTGAAACAGTACTGAGTTTGAGTGGCCTCGTGGTGGGTTCGCTGCACTTGGACAATTCTTTGCGTGCTCACATAGGCCAAATTCCGGCAGATACGATGCCTGGGGTCTATCAGATGTGTTGGTGCCCCGCCACTTCAGATTGCTCTAACCTCACCTCATTCCGAGCAGAGGCTGGCAGGTTGCAAGTTAGTTGCCCCAAAGGTCGTTATTTTGCTTCATCAAAATGTGCGTTGTGTGGGCATGGGTTCTACTGCCCAGGAGGAACCCAGATTGCAGCAAAACGCTTCCCATGTGAAGCGCACGAAACAACAGCTGTGCGGAATGCTACTTCAATTTCTGATTGCACATGTGACCGGGGCCATTTCTATTCTCGTGGCAATTGTGCTCCTTGCCCGATAGATTACTACAAACCGCTTGTTGGCAATGCCCCATGCATGAGGTGCCCTCCAGAATTGAACACATACGCAACTGGCTCAGTGAGTGACACTTCTTGTGTCCACGCAAGTGCTGTGGTGGACCAAAATGCGGTGTCTACGGTTCCTTCATTGACTTTCAACCTGTCTTTGCTTAGCAACAAATCCTACGACTTAGCGGGTGCGGGGACGAGCCCACTGCTTGTAGGTATCAGTAGAAGCATTTCCCAATTCAGCAGACTGGACGCGAACTTGATTGATTTAAACGTTGATGAGACTCAGGGTCCAAACTTCGGACAAGGTCGGCGCCTAGCATCATCAATGGTTGTGAAAGTCACCATGAGGTATGCAACAGAGGAGGAAGCAACCGAGGCTGCACAGGAGCTGGATGTCCAACTTGTCTCGGATGAAGTCATGAGCAGCCTCCGGACATATCCAGAGTTTTCTGATTTCCTTGTCAAAGCATTGTCCGAGCCAACCAAATCATCCACCATTATACAGTGCCGGACCAATGCGGCGAAACCACCGGGCGTAATGATTCGGAAGCTAGATGATTGTCTTTGTATGCCGGGCTTTGGCTACGAGGAGACGCTTCAGAGTTGCGAACTTTGCCCGCTTGGAAAATACAAGAGTACACTTGCAAACAAAGATTGCACAAACTGTGATGACACAAACGAGAAGTCAACTCTTGAAGTTGGCGCCAGATGGATTGAAGATTGCAAATGCCGAGCTGGATCGTTCAATGACAGTGCACATGGAGGCTGTATGGCTTGCACAGTTGGCAGTTACTGCAATGGCACAGGAACACAATTTGAATGTCCTCGTCACTCTACCACAACAGACAGTCGATCACGAACAATATCCGATTGCGTGTGTGAGGCAGGATATCAGCTGTCAAAACGCGCGCATTCATCCGAAGACTTTTTCTGTGAGTCATGTTTGCAAGGTTTCTATAAGCCGAATGCAGGCAATGACACATGCTCGCTTTCTTGCCCCAAGAATGCACTCTCTATTGTCGCAGCAACCTCAATCCGTGATTGCTATTGTTTGACTGATCACCACGCAGAGCTCGACGATGCTGGCAATTTGTCCCGCTGTGCAGGATGTAGTCGCTACAGCGGCTTGCGTTGCCCAGGACACTTTGAGTTAGCTGGTCTACACGCCCAACCAAGAGCACAGGAGGGTTGGTTCCAGACAGGCAACACGACTGCCGTCCAGTGCCTGGTTGAGTTGCCCAATGGAGCTAGTGCGTGCCGCGGTTCTGCTCAGTGTGAGAATGGCACACACTGCTTTGTCAACAAATGCGTGGATGGCTCAACTGGAATGCTTTGCGGTGAATGCCCCGAAAACTACGCTAGGAGCAAGTATTTGCAGCTTTGCAAGATGTGCCCGGACTCAGACTCTGGCTTGACTATGGCCATGATGGTGCTGGCAGATCTTGGACGCATAACCTCTCTCAACTTTGCAATGGCCTTACTGGCGGCCCAAGGAGCTGGAAATGCTCTCAAGCTCCTCGGCATGTAAGGACGAAGCAAGTTTGTTTCACTTTTGTGATGAACCCAACCAATGAGCTTTTGTGGGGCCTCAGCATGTAAGGCTTGACTCTCCTATGATTCGCGTAGTGCAGAGCTGGAAAGATGCATGTAGCATCCTTTTGAGCTTCAACTTGAATCGCTTGCTACCGCTGAGTTCTGCAAGGGCAGATACCGAATGCGAAGAGTGTGACGAGCAGCACCAGCAAAGGTTCCAATGGCCAATGGAAATCACCGCTGCCATGGACTTCGTTCTCTCCTTGGTCTCCCTTGTTCCCGAGGTGAATGTAGATTTTGCAATTCAGTGCCACGCAGAAGCCTTGCTTCCTGGCAGTATGGCGGCCAAGAGGCTCGCGCCTGCCCTCTATTACCTTTTCCTTCCCATTTTGTCTGCGCTGAGCACAACTCTTCTTTGCGCCTTTGTGGTGTACGTTGTGGTCCCTTTGGCAAAACTGAAAGGCATTCACTTCAACGACGCAGATAAGGAGACTGCAAAACGTGCAAAGTACATTCGTAAAGTGGTGAAACGGGCACACGAGCGGCCGCGCCCAGAGAATGCTGAGCTTGTGTTTGCCAACGTCCTGAGTGAAATATTGGCAAAGAATATCAAAGACGCCAAGCAGCAAGAGGTGACTTGACTGCGCGAGCTGCCGTGACACCTATTGTTTTTTTTTGCCCTAGGGTTACAGAGGTACAGAGGTACGTAGTGTTTTTGCAGCGTCCTGTAATCTCTGAAGAGTCAGGTCGAGAAGCGTTTGCAAGATTCAGAAGTGGAAGAGATTTTGAAGCATGTGGCCGTCAAAGTCGCGGAACAACGGGATTCTGATGTGGAAGAGCTCTTGAAGGAAAGGGCTGTGGAAGCTTGGAAGTCGAGGGAAGAAGGCCTAAGATTTCAACACTGGGAAAGCGTTGAGAGTGCAGCTTGCTGCAGTCGTTGTTTTTCCTCATCAACCGAGCTGACTACTGAATTCCGCAAGACATGAGCCTTGAGCATAGCATAATTGTTCTTAGACGTGCTGTATAGTTCAGATTAAAGCATATCAGTAATACGTGCACGTAGCTTCCTTTTATCAGTAATATATAGCTTCATATTCCTATAATCTATTCGCCCATCGGATTTTAGCCTGAAGGGGTTGGCGTTGAGCAAGGCTATCTTATGCGGATAGACAAGATTATGCAAGACTTTCACTACCATATCTCCAACCGCCGCGGAAAGGCTCAGAAAGCTCCAAATTTCAGGGCGCGCGCGACCCTTCTAGCTTGCGCCGTTCTTTTGGGTCACACCCTGTGATACACTACGCGGGCCTCAATTTTTTGAGATCTGGATTTCGCTTGCGGCTGTGCAGCCGTTCTGCGGCTTGACAAGCGATGATACTGACACAATGTTCGCGCTCTTGCACAGATCGCCATCCAAACGGAGCTGTATCCGAAGCCCCATGAACCATTACGAACCTGTACAGTCCAAAGCGTGAAGCTGTCGGCCGTAAATGTGAGCGATTGAACTCTTAAATTCCTAAATGACCGTGTGAGAAAGGTGTTCTCACAGAGCGTTAAACATCTCCTCATACCATCCCAGCTTCCGTCAGAGCATTGGACATGGATGCCGGAACAAAGATGATTGCATCCACAGCTGCATCCGAACAAGAGCCAATCTGCGCTGACATTCCTACATTTCCAGCCTAATTACAGAATGGGCCAATGACTGGAAGCGTGGCAGACAGGGCGTGCAACAGTGCAACCAAAAACCGTTAAAGCAGCGACCGTTGATGACGCGACAGCCTTGTGGTATATTCACCGAGCCGTTACTTGTGTTTCCAACACGTATATAATGGAGAACAAACACGAATGAGGTATATAGGAGGGAGGCCACACTGAAGGAATTCATATGGCTGAGGAGGAGTGTCCAGGTGGTTCAGTTTGGTTTGAGTGCGTGGGGCTATTGCGTTGGGACGGGGGTGTTGATGCGTGTTGCACATTGCTCAAAAGGTGGGGCGGTGAGGCGGCTCCGTGGGCGGGTTGGGCGCCGCTGGCCTGGTTCACCCAAACTGGTCAAGCGTGCAAGTGCTGGCCGGACGAATTGACGGGAATTGGTGGTATGATGCGTTATGGCGATATGAAGTGAACTTGAGGCGACAGTGAACTTGAGGCGACTCGGCATGAACTGTCGCTCACCACCGTGGCAGAATGGTCCTGTACCCTCTACTCCCTGGAAATAAAAAAACGGATTACAAAGTCCTTGAGATCAAAAAGCAGAAGTAACTTTTAGTAGACTGTTTTCCCCAGCACAATCACAGCGCAACCTGTGTGCCCTTTGACCATCCAGTTGCCTGTACGCAAAGGGACATGATGTGGACAATGTGCTGCCAAACTTGTTGTATGGTACGGGTTCCTTGTTAAAGCGCGCGCAGGACATTCCAAGATGGACGCCCTTGCTGGTACGTAAGTATCGTCAAAGGACACTTTGCGAAGCAAGTACGTTGAATGTTGTGTGTCTTGCGAAACACTGAAGCAACAACTGTAGCCACTGTAGCACCTGCGACTCGCGACTTGTGTGAGCCAAGGCTATAGTCGATGTGTCTCTTTGCGGAGTGCCCGCTTGCACGCATAACAGCGATACTGTACGGCAACAGGCTGTCCAAGGGATGCAATCTGCAATATCCCCCAGATGCGCTGTGGTCAAAAGCTGTCCCCCAACCAGCAGTGCCAGTGCGGTTTCAACACTTTAGGTGGTCATGGCCAGAAACCGGCAGATCTCAAGGCCGGAATTCCAGCGGCCCCGCATTGCTGGGTTGGTCATGTTTCGCCTTTTTTTCCTGCAATCGAACATTCCCACTCAGCCTGCCTCAGCCGCTTTCCACTGTTGACATTTTTGGCCAGACCAAAGTTGCAACTACTGGCTTGTACGTAGATCACAGGTAACTGCCTTGTAAGGAAGCAATTCACCTTGTGCACATGTCCGCCAATCCTATTGCAACTTCAGCAATGTAGGTTTGAGGCCCTCAAGTGCGCAAGCTTTGGTGGCCTGGGACACGACAGTAACCACACTACACACTTGCGAGAGAGCTCATATGAGCGACATTCAGAGTGATTCTCGAAAAGCATTAGTACTTTCTTTTTTTTTGCGTTGGACGAGTGCACTAGCCCTTTAATGCAGAAACAACGTATGAGACGTGAGAGTCTCATGCGCTGGCAGCCGGCTGAGTGAGTCTCGCAAAAAGTAACTTACATTTTCCATGTTTTTTGGAATCATACCCCCGGGGGCGGTGCAGGAAAATGTAACTTGATACGTGGGGACGTTCTAAGTTACATTTTTAGAAGACTCTTTCTGAGGATTGGAGGGGGGTCAGCAAATGTAACTTGGAAGCCTTGATGCTTCGCTTAGCTTTCTGTTTTTCCTATCGTTGCGTTGCTTCTTGTTGCTTTGCTATCGTTATCCAAATGAACCTCGTTACATTATGTTACATTGAGTACCCGCATCGGAGGGGTCCCCGCATGACCAGTTTGAGCGTTTCCTTTCATGTTCCTCGTGTTTTGCATTCATTTCGTTTCATTCTCGTTCATGTTGCGTTCCTTTCCTGTTATTTTTCTTCGAAAGGTACTCAAACCGGTCATGCGGGTACTGTACCCTCCCAAGCGAGCGCTTGTTATTTTGAAAATGTAACTTTACATGCTGAAGGCTCTTTCCCTTTAGACATTTCCCTTCACTTTGCGCTCATTTCCTTTCCGTTCGCATCCAGTTCCTTTCATTTTGCATTCATTTCTTTTCATTTCCCTTCCATGTTGCGTGCCTTTCCTTTGAATTTCCTTCCAAGGTGGTATTTGCTGGTAATGGCCCGTGGCCCCCCGTTGTAGGCTGGCTTTACGCAAATGCGTATTCCGCGCAGCCTTCCACCTGTCGCTGCGCCAGTGTCTGCACTTGTTGCAATGGTGCAATTGTCGTTGCTGGGGCGGGAAGGTTGAGTGGCGGTGGGATAGTGATGCGGATTCGTGGTGGAAGAGTGGGGCGCGCGGTTTGATTGTTGGCTTTGCTAGCTGGCTGGCGCTGCCTTGGCAGCCTGGTTGCTTACTCCTTTCTGAAGGATGGAGCTTGCAAACAAACTGTACGTGCGACGTGTCTGATTGCCGGGAATGTGGCGAGCGTCGATTGGTCGGTATAACGGACATTGTTTCCAAATGTGGATAACTGGATAACTGCCAGGAGCATGATGGATTGGTGGTCAGGTTTAGTGTGCCTGGTGGACATGGCTGCGATGCGTTGTGTGTAGTGTGATGTGAGGGATTGGGTGAGTGGGTTGGCCAGTGCTGCGCTGGTGGGTGGTGCAGTGTGTGGAGGGAAAGATGTCTACTAGTGACAGGTCAACTAGTGGTAGGTCTACTAGTCGCAGGTCTTCTAGTGGTAGGTCTATAGTACTAGTGGGTAGGTCTTTTTGTGGTAATGTGTCGCTGCTGCGGATAAGTGTTTCCATGGATAGGACACGGCTTCCGAAGATCTCGAGGTAGAAACTAGTAAGGTGAATATGGAACAGTACTGGGGATGTGGTGTTGGCCCGGAAATAGTGGAATATCATAGGCGTGTAGCAGTGTGGCGTGGTGAATGTCATCTGGTGGTGTGGTGGATGGGACAGGGTGCTGCTGCTGACAAGTATGGCTCCATGGACAGGACGGCAACGCCGGCGTGCCCTTTTGTGTGGTGAGACGGGTTGAGTTGTCCGTGCAACTGTAGTTAGGTTGCTTTTCTTCTTATATCATTATTGAACCAACTGGAGTTCTTTGAAGCAGCTGGGAAGAGAATGAATCAAACATTGACATTTTTTGCGTGTGAGACTTGTTCAGACATTGTTTACAGTGACCTCTGCAGCATGGTTCAGAATGCAAGGCGAAACCATGTCGAGTGAAAGGTTCGAGCAAAAAAAATCGATTGAATGAGTCTGAAGCGGAGCGTCCACAAAGGGACATGTTGGGTTCATCTCTCCTGTTTAATATATATATATATATTTGCAGAAAGCGGCGCCGCCGCAGTGGGAGGATGCTGCTACGCACACTTGAGAGAGGGCTCATATGAGCGACATTCAGAGTGGTTCTCGGGAGCACTAGCGCTTTCCTTTACTGCAGTGGACGGGCGCACTGGCCCTTTAACGTAGAAACAACAACGTATGAGATAGTGGTAAGCTCTTTTAGAATCACAAGGTCAGAAAGTGACATTCGATGCAGGTACGTCCGGAAGTCTGGATATCACGACCAAACTATCACTGTCTTCGTTGGGCAGTGAGTGATAGTGGCCCACTTTCCCCTGGTGTTGAATTGGCAGAACGCTCTTGGGAAGGTAATACAATGGGAGGGTACGGTAACCCACACACACGTATAGAAATGCGAACTGATGTGAATGCGGTGCCATGCGCCGGCCTAGGATACCACTTCCTAACAGTGCAACTAAGAACCGCCGGACCTGGAGGTCTTCAAAAGGAGAAGGGGCCAAAAGTGCAAAGTGAAGCCGAGCCGACAAGTGACCACGTCTGCTCTCGACTGCCGAGCTCATTAGACCTTAACGAAATCCTAAATTTTGTGCAGGTACACAAGAAGGCGTCCCTCCTCGCTTCACCAGTTGTGAGCCCGTCTTCGCTGGTCCGGGGCCAACTCACAACTGCCTGGACTCCCTGCTGAGAAAAAGCAAAAAGCAGAAACATTCCAAAAGGAACTTCGTGACTCCAGAGGAGACACACACACGCCTCCCCGAGCGTTCTTTTTCAGTTAAGCTCCGGACGAGGGTGAGGTAGCAGTGAGAAAGAGAGAGAGAGAGAGAGAAAGAAAGAGAGAGAGAGAAAAGAGAGAAGAGAGAGAAGAGAGAGAAGAGGGAGGAGAGAGAGAAGAGAGAGAAGAGAGAGAAGACAGAGAGAGAGAGGGAAAAAAAGAGAGAGAGACAGAGGTGCTCCCAGCTACGACACAAGCGTCCAGGGACACACCAAACAAGAGAAGAGGGGCTCCCAGCTATGATGCAAGCATCCAGGGACACCCCAGAGAGAAAAGAACAAAACGAGAGAGAGAGACAGAGATCTAAGGTCTCGAGAGACTCCAACGAGTCTTGAACAGGCTTCGGCCGCTGCGGCCACGTACGCCGTGCCAAAATGGCTGGCTGCTCAGACCGCTCCGGTCACCTAATGGCTTGCTCGAAAGCTGCCAACTTGTACTCAATAATCCAGCAAGTCTTGGCAAATAACTTTGGCCGGAGCCTACTTTGTCCGCTGCGGACTGCTTTGTATCCGGGCAGGGGATACGTTCGACAAACCCCCGTTCAACGGGTCCACAGGGGCCACTCTGCGGGGTCACCCTGGAGATGTGAATGCGGTGACACGCCGGCCTAGGTTACCATTTCCTAAGAATGCAAGTAAGAACCACCGGACCTGGAGGTCTTCAAAAGGAGAGGGGGGCCAAAAGGGCAAAGCGAAGCTGAACCGACAAGTGACGACGTCCGCTCTTGACTGCCGAGCTCATTAGACCTTAACGAAATCCTAAAATTTGTGCAGGTACACAAGAAGGCGTCCCTTCTCGCTTCACCAGTTGTGAGCCCGTCTTCGTTGGGCCAGGGCCAACTCACAATTGCCTGGACCCCCTGCTGAGAAAAAACCAAAAGCAGAAACATTCCAAAAGGAACCTCGTGACTCCAGAGGGGACACACACACTTGGATGGTTGCTCGCAAGAGCTAGTATCAGTATGAAGTTCCACTTTAGACGAATACATTACCCGATGCATTGTAGACCTTGACTTGCAAACGGAATGGTGACTGGGTCGGCTGCAACTGTATGGTTTAACATGGGTGAAACAATGATTGCATGGGTTTCGGCAACGAGTCCATTAAAAAATTGGTGCAGGTACGTCGGAGTGGCCAACTCCAATATCGCCAGATCAAATGGCCGTCTTCGTTGGTAGCGGCCCCAAATGATCTGCTGCTACCCCCTGCCTCTTTTTCTGGCGTTAAGAAACTATAAGCTAGTAGCGATACCAGGAGCCCTTAGTAGCAAAACCAGGGGCCCTAGTAGCGTCCTTTACGACTCAAAACCTTAGGCGCAGGTGTGGACACACGCGCGAGCCGTACTCGGCGCGCTGACCCTTGCTTGCAGTTTAGCAGCGTGGCCAGGAGTCGCTAGTAGCGTCCTTACAACCTGGTAGTACCGTCCTAGCTCCTGGTAGCGAGGCCAGAAGCCCCTAGTAGCGTCGTTGGTGTCCACCGGTCGCCAAACTTTGTACACATAGCGCCAATATTGGCGCTTTTGTTGAAAACTACTAGCGACCTAAACAGTCTTAGAAAGACAGAAAAAGCAAACAAAACAAAAGCAGACTAAGAGGGCAAGAAGGAAAGATAGGCGTAGTTACGACGCCCACTTAGTTAAATGAAAGTAGAACGCGAGCGGGGCCTTTGGTCTTAAACCGCCCGGGTAGCTAGCAATAGAGTAGGAGAAACGGAAGGAAAGGCGCCAACACACAAGTGTGTTGAGTGCGATTTCCTTCCGTTGCCCGAATAGCGGGTGGGATAGCAACCGAGGCAGGGGTAGGGAGGTAGGGGGGAGGGTGGGTTAGGGTGGCCTGTAGGCCTTGCCATCATTGGCTTTCAAGTATAGCCGATTTGGACCGGCGCACCCCTTCTCTGAAAGACACCTGGAACCTAAAGAAAGGCCTCAAGAAACGAAACGCAACAAAAGGAGAGAAAGAACCGAAGGGCATGAAAAACATGTAACAAAAGCACAGTGCGTAAACCCACCTGTGAATACTTAGACGCATGTTTCCATGTGAAATCAAGGTTTTTGATCACAGTAGGCCCTGCGGCATAAGATCAGTGGTATCGTGCTTCGCTGCCAATCAGAGACGATCGAACGAAGTTCAGGAAAGCAAAACGGAATATCAGGAGGATTCCCCCAGGATCTGGGTCTGTGCACACGCTGCGCCCCTTGACGGGGATCACACCACAGCCCGCAGTGGGACCCTGTGGCGAAACACACTTAGATGGTTGCTCGCAAGAGCTACTATCAGTCAGTATGAAGTTCCACTTTAGACGAATACATTACCCGATGCATTGTAGACCTTGACTTGCAAACGGAATGGTGAATGGGTCGGCTGCAACTGTATGGTTTAACATGGGTGAAACAATGAGTGCATGGGTTTCGGCAACGAGTCCATTAAAAAATTGGTGCAGGTACGTCGGAGTGGCCAACTCCAATATCACCAGATCAAATGGCCGTCTTCGTTGGTAGCGGTCCCAAATGATCTGCCGCTACCCCCTGCCTCTTTTTCTGCGTTAAGAAACTATAAGCTAGTAGCGATACCAGGAGCCCTTAGTAGCAAAGCCAGGGGCCCTAGTAGCGTCCTTTACGATTCAAAACCTTAGGCACAGGTGTGGACACACACACACATCCGCGCACGCGCGCGCGCAATGTATTGTGGAGTGTCAAAGGCTCCTGCAAAGTGACCAGTGCCGCAAGCATTGGTTTCACCATGCGCAGCCAACAATGCATCCCGAGCCTCACAGCCATTCCACATTGAGTGTATTGCTTGCTCGCGTGACTTGAGCTACAACCATTAAAGAAGGGATGGAAAAATCTGCAGGGATAAGACACTGCTACCTTCCCCAAATGCCCCATTGCCTATTCTAGTGACCATTTTGATTGTAAATGTTAAGCTGTGACCGCGTTGGTTGTAAGTGAGTGTTTATGTTTGGCACAGTGCTGCACAGGTCAGCGCCACCAAAACCGTACATGGAGCAGCTCTTCAGCGCCAGATAGGACAGAAATCCAACTTTGTCCAAACCCGGCTCCTGTGGAATTTCATCTAGGAATTCAGGAGGAGAGTGAGCGCGAGCCGATCTACCACGGCTGTGATACGGTCCATGAAGCCAAGGCCGCTCAGTTTAAGGCTCCGGTTGAGGCAGGGGAACGGGATTTCGGGCTCTTCACAGGCTTTCCTCGGCCATTGAAATTGCTAAGTGAGAGTGTCCCTGTGCTGTGGTTGACACAGCTGGCGCTTTGGCCGCAACTCCTGACAAAGTTTTTGCAAATGGTGCGGTGTTCCCCATTCTTGGAAGAGAGGGAGGGCAGTGTGCAACCAGTGCACCGTTTGCTTCCGCATCCGGATGTAGAATGCTACACCGAAGATCACGACTTGGCAATCGTTGCATGCATAGGCCTTTTGGTTTGGTCAATGGGCGTTCCTTTGCTCCTGTTCGCGCTGATTTGGCGGCTGGATGAGAGACAGGACCCTGAAGCCTGTCGAATCTACGGATATTTTATCCAGGGCTTGGATCCAGCATTCTGGTATTGGGACATTGTTGTCAAGAGAGCTGACATCTGCTTGATGCTAGTGGTGGCCTACACCACTCTAGCAGATGATGACAACGCCAAACTGCTGCTGTTCCCATTGATTTCAGGCCTGCAGCTTGGAATCACTGCGTGGACGCAACCATACAAAAACTCACAAGCTCAGGCCCTAGACTCCTTGGAGTTTGTGCTTCTGACCAGCAGGTTCGTGTTGTTTAGCGCCGTAGCGGCCCTGCTAATTTTTTTCCCTTCTCCAACAATTTTGCGAGCTGGCGGAGCTAGCCTGTTGGCGATGTTGATGATGATCGTTGCCTACTCTGGCCTGCATATCGTTGCGCACTTCGTTCGCAGCGCAGCAGCTGATTTGAAAGAAATTGAGAAGAAGACCAAGGACCAGGACGGAACAATTTAATATGTTGCGCTGTGGCAGCGTGTTTCCTTCAGACGCTTGTCTTGGATCTCTTTCCTGGCCATGACAGGAGCCGCCTGCTGGACTTGTTGCACGTATCTTGAGCCCCTAGGCTGCGAATGGGCCTTGGTTTTGGGCCGGGCTGAGGCAACTATACAGCGACGTCTGCCCCACGCAAAGTTGTTCTAAACAAATATGGCAGCCGCAGCAGGAAAGAGGATTGTTCCGGGCAATGTTTTTCTGGGTTTTGAGGTTTGGTGTTGTTCCGTAGCCGCAACTCCTCATCCTTGTCGACTGCTTGGCAATGGGCGCTTCCGGACCTCAACAGTAAGCGCCAGATCACACTGGACAACCGCGACACGCAACCGCAACACACGACCACAGCACACAACCGCAAACGCGCAATCGCAATGCGCTGCAACCACAGCACACTCGCGCAACCATAACGCACGCAACCGCAACCGCGCAACAAAAAACGCACAACCATGCAAACGCAAAACCACACAAACACACAACCGCGCAAACACACGACCACACGACAACCACACAAACTCGCAACCGCGCAAGCGCACAACCGTGCCAACGCACCAAAAAACAGAGCGCAAACGCGCAGCCACGGACGCGCAAACGCAAACACGCAAACGCGAACACGCAAACATACAACCGCAAAAACGCAAACCCGCGATCGCAGACGCACAGCCTTTAAAACACCAACGCGCGACCACGCAACCACAACGCGCAACAAATGAATGAAATGCCATGGTGGGGATCGCTCGAAGTAGAATATACCATATTTCTTTGCGTTTTGCTCCTTGTGGAACAAGGACTGATTTGAGTTGCGGAGATGGCCAAGGGACAGCGGAAAGGGTTAGGAAGGGCGATGCTTTTTCAACCGTTCCAGACTCAGGTTTTGGCGACGGTTCCAGCTGCGCAGGGGCTTTTTTGCATCAAATGGTTTTTGTCCAGATGGCGAGAGCCAGTGGGGTTCTTACTTCAAGTATAGGCTGAGCTGCGTGTGTGCGCTTTTGAGCCTGGGTGCTGTATCGCTGCAGGGCGCCGCTGCTGTGTGCGCATGGGTGCTGGTGGCGCCGCTGTGCGCGCTTAGGAGGGCGCTGGCGCCGCTGCCGGGTGCCGCTGCTGTGTGCGCATTGGGGGCTTGGGCGCTGGCGGCGCGGCTGTGTGCGCTTAGGAGGTTGGCGCTGCTGGAGGGCGCCGCTACTGTGTGCAGTTGGGAGCTTGGGTGCTGGTGCCGCTGCCGGGTTGCCTTGCTGTGTACGCTTGGAAGCTTGGGTGCTTGCGAGGCGCCGCTGCGTATTAAGAGCTTGGGCACTGCCGCTGCAGGCTGCAGGTTGCCGCTGCTGCGCGCGCTTGTTGAGAAACACGAGTGAAGAACTTGAACGCACTCATTCCAATAATATCTGGGGCTGGCCTAATTTTGCGACAGCGCCGGCCGCAGTATAGTAGTAGTAGTAGTAGTTGTTGTTGTTGTTGTCAATTGTTGTAGTAGTAGTAGTAGTAGTAGTAGTAGTAGTTGTTGTGGTAGTGGTAGTGGTAGTGGTAGTGGTAGTGGTAGTAGTGGTGGTAGGTCGTCGTCGTAGTCGTAGTCGTAGTCTTAGTCGTAGTCGTAGTAGTAGTGGTGGTGGTGGTGGTAGTAGTAGTGGTAGTGGTGGTGGTAGTGGTAATAGTAGTGCAAAGTTCTGTTGTTGTTGTTGTTGTTGTGGTTGTGGTTGGGGCGCAGGCTTGGTCAGTGGTAGGGGCAAGTAGGCGCGTGAACTGAAGCCTTCGTGTTCCCTGCCTGCGTGCGATTGAGACATAAGAGCTTGAAGTGCACATGTGATGGTGTCGACACGTTTGCCGTCATGTGGGGTTGACTGATGAACCAGCTTTCAGCTTTGCGCGAAACTCAGACTACTGTGCAGCTGAGGGTTTGTGAGCAAAGTGAAGGGGCGAGCGGTGAAGATATTGGAGCCGGTTCTTTTGCCTGACGAGCATCTCTTTTGCGCATGGTCACTTCACAAGGCTGTTCCAGCACTGGTGGAGAAGCATGCAGATCGTGGCTGCTCATATCCGATGGCATTTTGCATTTTCCTGGTCTTGTCTTGCCCTGTCAGATACTGTTACTTCTAAGTTACAAAGCGTGACTAGCTGGAGTCGCTCTTGCTTCAGCAAGGAATTTGAGAGGGTGGACGCCGCTCGCTCGTGTGGTGCAGTCGTGAAGACACGCGCAAATCGAGAAGTGAACGCAGGCCCTTTAGCGCTCAGAAAAAGTCCGCGTGGTAGCGGAGCTTTGAAGGCGATTGCTTGACTCTCGCTGGAGCTCCTCCGGATCTTTGGAGGCCGGACCTTCGCCTCCTTTCGCGCCCCTTGTGTTTCGTTCGCCCGCGCCGAGCTGACGTAACCTCATGTTGCAGTTTTTTTCGCGATCAGCGCCAGCGGCTACTTCAAGGAAACCCTCACATTTGCTACTTCGCTGGCTCCACCTTTGTCCGTGGAGAGGTGGCAGTGACCTACGCACTGAAGTCGAAGACGCCCTTGACTTGGAGGCCCTGGGAGGACTAGAGCTGGGAGTGTTTTGTTGAGCTGGTATGGACGGTTCAGCTGGAGGGGTTGATTTCGCAACAGCTGGTTCGGCGGAGTTGGCGCAGGCCCACTGGCTACAGTGCAGGCAGCAACGCAGGCGGCTCAGGCAGCAGCAACAGCTACAACAGTGCAGAGCAGCGCAACAGATTCAGGTGGACAGAATAAGAAGGACCTTGCCAAGTTGATCCCACGCCCTGCAGTTTTCCATCCAAGTGATAGAGAACAAGAGATGCTGCAGTGGAGGGATTGGTTCTGGAGCTTAAAGCAATACTTGGTGGTGGTGGGCTCAGCCTATCAGGACGAGATTGCAAAGCTGGGAGAGAACTTGTTGCAGGAGATGGATTGGGAGCTCATGGATGGCAAAGAGCAGGAACGATCAAGATCCCTCTACAGCCTGTTGGGAGGATTGGCGCAAGGACGGTTGATCGGCGCCATCAAGAACGTGGACAACTACAACGGCCATGAAGCGTTGCGCCAATTGTTGATGAACTGCCAACCGCAGGCGAGGAACAGGTAACAGGACGATGAACTTGTTGCAAGGGATCATGCCCTTGAGCGCCGTAGAGAGACAAAGAGCAGGAGATTGCTGAAGACAAAAGGAAGAGGATTGATGAGGGAAGTGATGCGGAAGAGCTCAAGGAGCTGATCCCCATCCAAGATCCAAGGCAATTGGACGAGCCAAAGAACCAAGCTGGACCTGTCCCACTGATGCCCAAGGCAGTGGAGGTAATGGAGAGTCCCGAGCCAGAGGCCAAGAAGTTCAAGCACACAGCGGCGAAGCTGGTTCATGAACTACAAGATTCAACAGCATCTTTTTGAGAGTGGTTGATGGAGGCTGAAGAATTAGTCTCAGCATCAACATCTCCAGCTGACTTGGACAGAGTGGATCGATGACCTTGCGGATACAGTGGAGGAGGAGTGACTGCAAAAAATGAAAGTCTTGGAGCGCTTGAAGAGAGAAACCCCACGTACAAGAATCTCACTACGCGCTTTGTCAGAGAAACCTCAACCTGACGCAGGACAGAAAATGCGGCGGAGGAGATCCAGGTTGGTAGCCCGCAAATACGCCAATGATGCGCGCACCTACTCTGGTGAGCACATCTTCCGGTCACTTTCCAGTTTTCAAAAATCTTCCAGGACGGCGCAAAGGAGCCAAAGCATGGTTTGATCACCTCACATGGTGGTTGGAGAAGGAAGGCTTCGAGTTCAGCAAGGAAATCCATGCCTAGGACGATGCGCAGACATGGCCTTGCTGATTCATGTGGACGACGTGCTGTATGTAGGTTCATTCAGGAGGAATTCTTGCCAAAGCTGAGAACTCAGTTTGAACAGCATGTGAAAAAGGTGGGTGACGCGTTTCAGTTTTCTTGCGACGGACATATGAATTAACGACAGAAGGTTTGCGCATCTATCCTGGAAAGTATGCCGAAGACATGGTGGACGCCTATGAGAAGAAGCTGGGAAGAGCAAAGCTGCAAAAGTTGCCATGCGGTCAGGAGATTCTCAGGTCATTGGTAGCCTGCGGCGTCTACTTGGTGTGGGAGAGAGTTGACATCTCCTTCACGGTGAAAGACCTTGCTGGGAAGATGGCGTATCCGGTTTTTTGAAGACTGCCCTCGGTCAATACAGTCAGTTGGAAGTCGGAGAGGCAGGCCATGGATTGACTGCAAGGAGGGAGGTCTCAGGATGGCTGCTTGAGACCTACTCTGGTTCAAAACCTCATAGAAGATCAACATCCTCTGCCATCCACATGCTGAACGGAACAGTGATCTTTGCAAGCTCAAGAGGCCAGAAGTCAGTAAGCCTCAGTAGCGCAGATGCAGAGCTCAGTGCATCGGTGGGAAGCGCGGCAGATGAGGCGCATTGAATTCTTGGTGGGCGAGCCTGTGATGCATCATTGCCTGGTTGACAATTCAGCAGCTCTTCACCTTTGCCATCGAACAGGACCAGGCAAGCTCACCCAAGATCTCGTAGCGCAAGATGAGCTGAAAGTGAAGGCAGTTTTTTAGGTTCATAGGGTTCAAAACTCGGAGGAGCTTGATGTGTTCACGAGGGACTGTGTTCAGGAGAAGGGCGCGGTCTGGACTCAGGATCACTGAAGGGGGACAGCCAGTCTGATTGATTGGAACATCCGGATTGCTGGACTGCTGATCTGGACAGCGCTTCGAACTCGAATAACTGGCTTGTTCATTGAAGGAGTATGAAGGAGTCAATGAGCCAGCAGTGAGCCTTCCCGAGCAGACGCAACATCAGTACCAGCGCAAAACCATAAAGTATTCAGGGATGAGGGAGGAACGGTGTTGGTGACAGGCCCTTAGACGCCAGAATCATGGAAGCTTTGCAATCCTATGTGTGAAGTCTCAGTGGCGATGCCACCTATAGACTATAGAAGACTTTTTGAATGGTCTGCTTAGGACTTGGAGAATCTTCGCTCGTGATACGTTCTTCATTTTCATTGACGCATGCTTCGAACCCAACCAAGCCGTACACCGTAGGCATTGGATGTGTCTTAGTGAGCCCTGCAGGCCATCATCCTCTTGATTTCGACGCAAGCCGTTTGTGAGTTTCTAGGAGAAGGTATGAAGAAGACTATAGTCTTTGAAGCAGAAATGTATGCTCTCTTGGTAGGTCTCAAGGCTTGGAGTCACAGATTGTTCACTCGCCAGCTAGTCATTTAGGCTGGTAACGACGCAGTGAGAGGTGCAATCACAAATCCCTATTGAGAGGGAGCTGTTGGTGCAATGCTCGACTGCGTCAACAGCCTCGAAGCCTTTCATCAATTTCTGATGTGGGTTGCAAGCAAGGTTTCCTTCAAAATCAAACATTGCCGACGGGCCCTCTCGTGATGAGATCGAATTGGATAAACTTGGAGCTACCCATCTTGACTTTCCACTCAACTTCACACCTTTTCGCGGAGTTGCCTAAGTGGGGAGACCGAAAAGCCCCGCTGAAAAAGGAGCGCCTGCTTGTATGCGCGCGCGTCGTAGAAGATAAGCGTAGGCTCACCGTAGGTGAGTACATCTTATGTTCGCAGCGCCCTCCTTCCACGCTCTGCAGCAAACCGACATTCGGTTTTGCAAGAGCCTACCCAACCGTTCAAACGAAGAGCCCGATAACCCCGCAAACTCAAAAGCTTCCAACATCTGGAAATACACAACTTGGTGGCAACAATAGCTTTGCCCCAGACTTGGAGTTCTTAAAAGCATTGAATTCTAGGATTTTGTTGGGTCTCCTGGACTTCTTGGAATTGTTTGGCGCCGGCATCGAAGCCCAAGACGTGCAAGAACATTTATATATTTTAAAAGCAAGAATGACAATGTGGTGCCACAAATAGCCTGTGCCGGCCTTGGTCGTAGGTCCAATCGGAGGACCCATTAGGATGTCATAGGCAAGGGGAATGCAATGTATATGCTTAAATTATTTTGCGTATACCAACAAGCAAAAAGTTATTTTCATACATGTATTTCCACCTTTGCAATGAAGTGGTAACATCGTGTGATCAGGTATTTCCTTTGGATGTTGAACATTTGAGGTTACTCGCTGCTGTCGTTTGGAGGGTTGTCAGCGCGAGTGCTAAAAACTGACATGGCAGCCCAACGGCAGACAATCTCAAAGGCCTTCCATGACTTCAGTTTGCTGTGGATGCGCCACTCCACTGCGAAAGGTTTTCCCAGCATCAACATGTTGTGCGCCCTCGCAGTGACGAGACGCGACTTGCCCAGAAAACTTTCCACTGAAGAACTCAGCAAGAGTTGGGAGCGAACAATTAGAGCGTTACAAGACGACAAACGAAATTTGCATTTAGTTGGTCAGGACTAGGGCCAGGGTTTAAATTCAGGCATGTTGAATTACAAACCCCTGTGCATCACCCCTGTCAACGTAATTACTGATCCAAAGCAACCTTTGGAATTTATTCCACAAGGAAAATCCCTGCAGAGGACGATGCCGGCGGTGCACCTTTGTGCGACGACGATTTTGCGAATGCTGTCCACTACTTCTCGTTGCTGACGAAAGAGATGGCTGAGAAGGTGATGGATGCGGTGCTGAGTATCTTTGAGTGTGGCGCTGGTGACCCTGAGGCTCAAATACCGTTGCAATCCCAGAGAGAATCACTTTGCAATGTAATTTCTGTCAATTGCAATATATTTCTCATAACTTCGAGCGGCCAGGAGTTGACACATTCCAACGTGCAAAATCATTCAGAGCGAACGGGAGATGAATGTGAATCCAAGATGAACGTGGCTGCTGCTTGGGTCAAAGGGGTGTTTTTGAATCTCATAAAAGCAGTTGGTGCCCATAGGACTTGGATACGTATTGAGTTTGAACGACAATAGCACAATAGACATAAACGAAACCCCTCGGTTGGCGTTTGAAACATGTTTGCGCTGCTTTCCTGTCTCAGGTTTCCTCAATTTCGGTCAATTGTGCCTCAAGTTCCGCTGATGTGGTGGTGGTAGTACCAGACCACCATCCGAGTGAGGTGGTGCCATTCGCTTTGGCAGAGGCCGACAGCCTGCAAGATGCAGAGAATGAAGTAGCTGGGCAGTATGGTATAATTTTGCCAACGCTTGCTAGGTGTCAGTTCCAAAATGAGCAAAAACCTTGGAACATCAGGCAAATCGCAGTTTCGAGGTGTTGCGGTTGTTGGCTGGGTTCTTCATAAACTTCATAAACTTGTTTGAACACACATACTCTAGCCACAATCAGCAGCCTGGGGCCTTGGAATGTCTTTACTCAGGGCCTTAGGTTTTGTTTGAGTCCTTGGCAGGTTTTGCATTCAAACTCTGAAGGAGATGCCCGTTACTACTACTTTTGTATCACTGTTCAGGACTGTTTTTCGCCGCAGAGAGAACTTCAGGCCCAATTGGCTGCAGTCCAAGGCCCCCCTAACCCTGTTCAACAAGCCCTTCGGACATGTTTTGTTCCAATAAAAAACAACTCTGGGCTTAACTTAAGCTGGCTGTGTTGTTTGTCAAAACTACAAACCTTAGCGACATTAAATCTCCCGGTTTTCAGGGCCTGTGCCTGTGCTCCCAAGTTTCAGCTGTCGACTGCAGAGAGCGAAGCAACGTGAACAATTTGTGAAGTTCAATTGCACAATAGCCAAAGGCAATGTGCAAACGGGTCGCATGATTCTTAGCCAAGGTTGCGAAGCCAACACGAAGAACCTTGCGGCCGAAGCAGCGCGCGAAAGGTAAAGCCAAAGCAAACCCAAAGAGAGGGCAGATTGGCTACAGGAGGAATCCGAACAGGGGCATGGACCCACGAAGCCCAAGTCAGATTCAGATCACTGTTTAGGACGACGCGTGTATTCCTTTCTACTTCACGAAGTGAAGCAGTTAGGTATTTTGCATTCCAGGCAGGTCCATTGAAGTGACAGATTGGGTGGATTGGTGGTTGAAGCTGATCCCCAGCTGGTTTGTGACTCCAACAGCAGACTTGCAGAAAAAACGCCTAGTTTCTGAAGCAAGTCCAACAGCAACCACAATTTGTGTCGGCGAAGCAGCTTCAAGTTTGTGGAGCATGATGTGTGACGTGTGGTTCGTTTGAATGTACTGTAAGGGTGCGAAAACTGTGCAACGTGTTGATGCTCCTCACAAGAAAAAACATCACTTGCACTCATGCACCTGCGTGCCATAAGTCTGAGATTTGCTGCACCACCGCTGCACCCATGAGACTTGAAGGCAACGTCCTTTGAAGTGATGTAGCGTAGCTGTTGACACGCATTTGTTTACTTGTGACTCAAATCGAAACTCACTCAGCACTTGCACCTCAGGGACTTTGTTTTTGTGTTTTCCTGTTTTCCTGTTCCATGCAGTTGTGGACAACAGCTTCAATTACAAAGCAAGGCATCTTAGATGCCCAAGTAGGCACACATGTTAGTTTCTAGCGGGCTTGCGCAGCTGCATGCCCTGCCTCCGATTTGTTTGCTGCCCCTGTTTTGTTGACCGTCCATTAAACCCATGAGACATGAGGGCAATACCTGTCACTCTTGGCTCACTCATCAACCGGTGTATTCGTGTTGGTTTTTGAAAACAGTGGCAGGTTGGAGCCGCCGCGCGACCTTTTTATTCAAGAAGGGCATTGGCATTGACCTTTAACGTATTTGGCTGCTGACACGCATTTGTTTGCAAACTTGTCGCCAATTCAAGCCTCACTTCATAATTGCAGGGACACTTGCTGCTCATATCCAGGGTTGTCCTGTTTCACGCAGATGTGGACAGCAGTTTAGCTTCGGAACGCTTTGGTCTTCTTTCAAGGCTGCACCACGAGCGTGCAGTTCAATTCGGGCAACGGCCTTTGAAGTGATGTAGCGTAGCCGTTGACACGCATTTGTTTACTCGTGACTCAAATCGAAACTCACTCACCACTTGCACCTCGGGGACTTTGTTTTTGTGTTTTCCTGTTCCATGCAGTTGTGGACAACAGCTTCAATCACAAAGCAAGGCATCTTAGATGCCCAAGTAGAAAAACATGTTAGTTTCTAGCGCGCTTGCGCAGCTGCATGCCCTGCCTCCGATTTGTTTGCTGCCCCTGTTTTGTTGACCGTCCATTAAACCCATGAGACATGAGGGCAATACCTGTCACTCTTGGCTCACTCATCAACCGGTGTATTCG